ACAGTTGCCTTAAACTTAACACCCCTCTTACCAAGTGGTACTACCGTAGAGGTTTTTTAAACATTGAAATGCATCGTAATGGTTATTTTTAGAATGGCAAACTGATGCAGCTGTTAATACGTGTTGTAAACGTAGACACTACTAAACTAGTACGATAATGCTTAATTGCTGCATGAAAAGAAATCTTCTGATTTACATAGATGTGCCGACCAAAATTTTTTTAAACAAATATCATTGTTTAAAACTTTGAGTTTAAAAAGTTTCCAAAAAGGCGCCACTTTGCTGAAAATGGCCAGAGGGGGAGCGGCTGCTCCCCCTGCTCCCCCCTGCGTACGCTACTGATATATATATATATATATATATATATATATATATATATATATATATATATATATATATATATATATATATATATATATATGCGATTGATGACATCCTCTGCCTCTACCAAATTTGTGCGTTAATTTGTGCATACAATCCATTAATTCGTGTGAAGAAAGCATAGTTTTTATTGTATCATTAGATTTTGGTGTCATCCCCTCTAGGGTTAGTATTATAAAAGTGAGCGATTATCTGCCTTGGCTTGTTAATGTTTATCACATCGCACCCACCCAAACCCATGTCCCTTGCCTTAGCCCCCCCCCCCCCCCCCCCCCCCCCCCCGGATAATACGGAAGGAAGTAACGAGACTCTAGCCTATGTGAAGCTCTAGACTCTAGACAACACAAAAATAAACTTCTCTAACCTGATTCCGATAGCAGTTTATCTAGACTAGATCTAGTAGTTATTAGTTAGATTCTAGACATTAGTCGAAAGATAGATAGATCTAGATCTAGATTCTAGCTGGATCTAGATTCTAGATCTAATATTAAATATAAGTTAGTATCTAGATCTAGAATCTAGATCTAGAATATCTAAGACTAGACTCTTATAACTTATTTAATATTTAATAGATTCTATATTTTTTATACTTAGCCTATAATATATGACAATATAGATTCTAGATCTACTTGTATTGTATTAAAGCCAAAGCCATATTAATGAGTCACCTTTCTTTCAAATTACTAGCCTCGGTCGATCTTACGTACCTTAAGCGATAGATTGACGATTTCTTAGATCTAGATCTTACTATTAAAATACTATTAATTATTCTATTTCAAATAGGCCTAGCTCTAGAGTCTACAAGACAGTAATGAATGTTTCGTCCTGAGGAATTTGATAGGAATGTCATAAATTTGAACAAAATGAATCATTTTGAAATGTGAAGTGTCGAAATAAAATTATACTGATTCGGCAGTGACTTTCTTCAAATAGATCTAGAATACATTCTTATTTTTGTGGGTGAACAAAGTTAGAAAGAAGATGCAGAGTAAGTCACATATGATTTTGTTCCTATGGACTAGAATCTAGACTCTAGAAGAGATCTAGATCTAGCTAGATCTAGTCTAGATTCTAGCACTAATTAGTGTAATTAAAAATTAATTTTCGGGAGTATTGGTTACCCATGTTTGACAATAATAGGCTCAGAAAGTGAAAGGTGTTCTATCTCAGTGTTAGGTTGTTTAGTAAAATACTAGGCCTATGTAGGTCTATTGTATTTTAATCTTAGATTTGTTTAGTTTAGGTAAGGAAATTACTAGATCTTGATCTAATACTAGAATCAGGCATTAGTGCAGATTAGTTGGCTTTTGGTTTAGTGTGTTTCAGGCCATCTTTTGGTTATTCTATGACTATGATAGGACTTGGGTTAGAGCTTGGTTAGGCGAAATGGTTGGTGTTGACATTGTCATTAGCAAATAATACTTTGGGGGTAAATTATATGTGTTATACCAATTTCTGATAATGACACAATATGGAATCCTCTTAAAAAGACCACGGTCTATGACATGTTAATGCCTATGCTAACCCTAACCCTTAAAAAGACCACGGTCTATGACATGTTAATGCCTATGCTAACCCTAACCCTTAAAAAGACCACGGTCTATGACATGCTAATGCCTATGCTAACCCTAACACCCCATTTTAAGAAGATTCCATCATTGTGACATCAGACACTGGTTTCAAATGACACACTCCTAGCCTTTGTTACTAGGCTATACTTGTGGTCCAAGGGCCTATTATAGTAGTTTATTTTAGTCCAACTATACTCTCTAATTTTGCAACTAACGATACTTTATACACTTATGAACGAAGAATAAACCTGTTTCATTTTGGGGCGCATATATATATATATATATATATATATATATATATATATATATATATATATATATATATATATATATACACTTGCTGTCCCGGCCAGGCCCTGCACTGGCATTTCTGAAAAACATATCTGTAATGGACCATAACTTGTGTGTTTAGTAATCAGCATTTACCCGGCATTGCCCACCCTAACCACAACCAACCAAAATACACAAAAAACGCAAACATAACACTAACACAAAACAAACACAAACGAAAACACAAAAACAAACGCAAAGACAAACCCAACCACAAACACAAAGAAAACACAAACACTAACACAAACAAAAAAGCAAACGAAAACAAATCCAAACACAAACCCAACCACAACCAAACGAAACCAAAACACAAATACAAACACATATGAAAACATAAATACAAACACAACCACAAACATAAAGAAAACACAAACGCAAAGAAAAAAGCAAACACAAACACAAACACAATGAAAAAAAGCAAACGAAAACAAACGCAAACAAAACCACAAACGTAAACCCAAACTCAAACACAAAGAAAACACAAACGCAAATATAAACTCAAAGTGTCCACAGTCTAGCCCGGGGCGCCAAATTGCACCATGACGATTTGCGGCTTAACCGCCTGATTCAACTTAGTAAACGACTATAGTCTTTTGAACTCACTTACGCGAATGTAGGTACCATTGCGAACACTGGAATGCATGGGGCGCCAAATAGCACCCTGTCGGGGTGGCGGAGAACGCTCGGATTTGATTAACTTAAAGACTATAGTTACCTTTCTTATCCATACTCTATCGCACTGTTTAAAGCGAAATTATGCACCATAGCTCTCACAGGATAGCCCTGGGCGCAAATTGAACCCTGGTGGGGCGCCGGTGGACGCGCCTGTTTCAATTTAATGAACAATTATAATACTCCAAGCTTATCCGTAAACGGAAAGAAGTAAACATATAGGATATGTAGGACCTGGCTTATTAACTGTTATTGATTTAAAAAAAAAAAATTAGTTAACAGTAAGTTCAGTGTACAGAATAAATAAAAGGCAGTATTAAAAATACCTATAACATTTGCACTTGATCAATCTCCGCTAATTATGTAATTATTTTTTTCCCAACACCAAAACAAAGTAATAAAAAGTAAATTCTTTTCCACTAATGCAATCTTTTATAAAGGGAAATAATTGTGTTTTCCTAATTTATCAAAGGGAAGTAAGTGCTAAAGGACTAAAGATAAATAATTTTCAGACATAATTAAAATTTTTGTAAAAGATATTTTTTTTTAAAATTGTGTTTAACCATTAATGTCCCATTCATTCTACCAAAACTCCACCCATGACGGCCCAATGTAAGGAGCATAACTCTGTATGATCAAGTGTATAGTTTTACAAAATATTTGTTTTTGTCTAAATGAAATTGAAAATTAAGATAAAAAGTACTGCTTAATGTTGGGAATAAACCTGGCTTTCCAACAGTATTAAATAGAATATATTATATTCGGTACAAGTACAGAATAAAAATAAAAAATGTCGGAGAAAATTCAAAACAGGTCATTTCGGTAGTCAACTTTATTTATTTTTGTCTAAAGAACTATGCATCGAATTTAACAGTTAAATATCAATTTGGTTATGTTTAAGATATATAATTCATAAAATACATGCCTTGATACGTTTAGAGGCATTATTTGATTTTATTTTTAATATTAAATCTACTAAAAATAGGACAGATGAGTCTAAAATTTCGAGATAGAAAGAAACTATTATTTTTTATCTTTCAAAAGCGCCATTGAAATTAGAAGACCGGAAAAGGATGCTGAAACTATCCGACTTCCTGTTTAGTTAAAAATTAGGATTTGTAGGCCAAATTTTAATGAAACAAATTTAATTTTTCTATGCGTATTGTAAGCGGGCGGCAGCGGGCGTTACGGGACATTAACAGTGTCGGGCGGCAGCGGGCGTTATGGGACATTAATGGTTAATGAACAAGCTGACAATTATTACTATCAGTTTGAAAAATGAAAATTATTTCCCAACACTTTCAGTATTAATTTTTTAACTCATAAATTTAGACCATGAGGGTTTTAATAACCTAACACTTGAATCCATTGAGGTCTCGTTTTTTAAAATTTTTTTTTTTTTATATTCCTTTGTAATCCACGACAAACATTTTACAAACAAACATACAGAATTGAGCTTTATATATTAGATATACACTATCTTTAGATATACACTATCGTGCCGTCCCAGTGCCTTGCCGCAGGGATAGAAAAAAGTATGATGTAATATTTTAAGAGGGTTTCATCATTGCATAACTAATATTATATTCTTAGACATGTGACCTTGTTTTCTAAAACAAGTTATTTAATGTAAACAATGCCTGCACTTGAATCATATTTATCAGGGCATGGGTTTACCTACTCTACTGCATGAAAGCCTTGAGTGTACGTTAATCACTAACTTTAATAGTGAGGTAGAACACACTTTGGTGACTGCCCATGTGCCTGTGACGTAAATAGGAGCTCTTAGGAGCCGCTGATTACACTACAGCAGGGGTGCCACTTACATCCCCTGGCTCTTTAAAACTAACCTAGGCGCATTGATGCTCACAGGATAACCTAAAGCGCCACATAGCACCCTGCTGGGGCTCCAATGAATGCACCTGATTCAATAACGCCCCATCTTATGCATTGCCTATAGCACTGTTTAGAAAAAACATAGGCGCCATTGCGCTCAAGGACAAATCAAAGCCTGCAGGGGCACCGGAGGACGAGCCTACTTCAATATAGTCAACGATTATTGTTTCCCATCGTGTCTTTAGTGTATAGCTTTTTTTAAAAAACGAATGTAGGCGCCATAGTGCTCGCAGGGGAGCCCGGATCGGGCGTCGGGGTTATGCATGTTGCACTTTTATAGCTGAATATTGTAGTACCCTTTACCCATTATGCAGGTCGCCCACTTAACAAATGCCAAGTGCTAACATAGCCGCTCTGGAACTCCGTGCGCCAAACCGTGTGTTGGCAAAAGTTGCAGCCTCCCGGGCGGCCGCCGAAAAAAATGTATAACTTTTTTTTAGAAGAAATCTTCTCGGGAGTATTCTCATTTACTCCCAACCCTCGGCCCCATGGTTTGAAGGGTGTCAAATCGCATCCGACTTCTTTTTTATGTACTGTATGTAGAGAAAAATCACACCCGGAATTTAAAAAAAAGATTTTTTCCTTAGACACCTCCCCAGAAACCTCCCAAAGTTTCATGGAGATTGGATGAACGGTGTAGTAATGCATTAAAGACAAACACATTTCAGATTTTCATTTTCAGAATTTTTAGTGCAAATTTTCCCCTTATATTTACAGTAAAATATTTACCCAAAAAAACTGAATAACTTAATAAAAATGTTGCTTGAAATGAAAAGTACAACCCCTTAGCCCGGGTTTTTTACATTTAATCTTGCATGTGTGTTAGTCTAGATGCAGCCTAAAATTGATCTATCTAGTGCATGATTTTACAAAAAAAATTCTATAAAATATTAAATCAAACCAATGAGAAAACTACAAGAAGTAAATAATATGTAAAATGGCATGATCTAGATTTACAATTAAAAACTTTGATTCAGAAAAAGAATGAATTAAATAGAGAAACTCTTTTATTTTGTTACAACTAAGCCCCTGTACACACTATCAAGAATAAATCTAACTTGATTCGAAAACAGCTAGACACTCAGGAAAATAATATGTTGTGAAGACACTGACGCACTGTTACTGGTAATTGTGTTGCACTACAAACAACCACAAACCTGTTACAGACCACAAGACTAAAAGTATAAATAAGATAAAGGCTCATTACAATACGAAATAAAACTTTAATACCTATCTATACTGTCTATGTATAGTCTATATAGTCTGTACTAACTACTAACACAAAAGTAAAACACAAGCTAGGATAGAGTTGCTACAGAACAACCTACACTAATTATTATAGAAGTAAAGTACTGGACTAAGACTAGAGTAAACCATGCTATCACTTACACAACGTACATACCAGACTATGACAGCTCAAGACATGAGTGGTGAACACAAGGGCATGGGACAGGTTACTACATACCAACAACATTCACAACACTAGGGCATGGGACAGGTTACTACATACCAACAACAT